CGGCGCTCCGCGGCGCTCTGCTGGACACCTGCGTGCGCTTCCTCCACCAGCTGCTCAGCAAGCTCATCCTGCTCATCGTGTACCCGCCCGTCATCGCCGGCCAGATCGGTGAGGGGTTTCTTTATGTTTTGATTTTTTTTGGGGGGGGGGGGGGGGGTCGAATGGGTTTGCGGCCGTCTCACATCGTGCATTTGCTTTGAATAAAAGCACCTGCTAAATGTAAATCTAACGATTTCCGTGTCTCTGCAGTGAACCTGGGCCGGGCGGCGTTCGAGGCCATGTCGCTGCTCGTCAATCAGATCCACAAGAACCTAGAGGGGAATCAGGACCAACATGGCCGCAACAACCTGTTGGCCTCCTATATCTACTACTGCTTCCACCTGCCCACCGTCGAGCCGCACATGCCCCCCACAAGTTAGTTGTTTTATTTATTTGGTGGCTTTCAAGTGCGTATCTGACATTCTCTACGACTGTAGGATGTGCAATATTATATCATACATACCGGCAATATTGTACTAAAATCACAAAAATAAGGATATTGTCTATCAACTACTACTGATAATTCATGTTGTATTGCTGTTTGTAATAATGTCACAACGTGTTCAACTGTCAAAAAGATTACTATTTTTAAGCTAAAGCAAGAAGTAGATCTAGCTGGAGGCGGGGCTCTAATGGGCAAACAGGAAGTAGATCTAGCTCAGGGGTCGGCAACCCGCGGCTCTGGAGCCGCATGCGGCTCTTTAGCGCAGCCCTAGTGGCTCCCTGAAGTTTTTTCAAAAATGTTTGAAAATGGAAAAAGATGGGGGAGAGAAATATATTTTTTGTTTTAATATGGTTTCTGTAGGAAAACAAACATGACACAAACATTATTAACGTTTTTCAATGCTGTAAAAATGTGTAGAATAAATATTAAATTTCAACATTTCTGTCAACGAAGATTTACGTCATAGCCTGCGACACACGTTTCTATCAGTAAGGCGGGATGCCAGGCAGGTGGCTGTTGTAAACAAACCGGCGGCTGTGTGATGGGCCATGGATCCCAAAGGGAAAAAGAGAAAAATAACTGAGGAGAACAGAGGATTCAACGTTTCTTGGACCGGGCAATAGTAACACACCGCGGACCTACGGCCGACGGGTGGGTTCGCGCAATAGTAACACACCGCGGACCTACGGCCGACGGGGGGGGGGGGGCGCAATAGTAACACACCGCGGACCTACGGCCGACGGGTGGGGGGGGCGCGCGCGATTGTAACACTCCGGCCGACGGCGGGGGGTGGTGGTGCGCGCAATAGTAACACACCGCGGACCTACGACCGGGGGGGGGGGGGGGGCGCGGTGTGTTACTATTGCGCTCTCAAAAAGGAGGACAAATACGCGCCCGGCTTGATGCTGCGCCGGACGCCGGACAGGGCTGAAAAACCGGACAGTCCGGCGCAAATACGCGCCTCCTTTTTAACCCCACCGGTTGAGAACCACTGCTACAGGATGCACTGCAGGAAAAATAAACATTTAATCATGAAGGCTCATTATGTATTTGTAGTTAACTTAGTCATTTCTATAGTAGGCTAATATAGCTACTATAGATACATACAGCATGTGTTGCCTTCAATATAAGGCTTCTATAAGGCTTTTATTTTTTTGCGGCTCCAGACATATTTGTTTTTTGTTTTTTTGGTCCAATATGGCTCTTTCAACATTTTGGGTTGCCGACCCCTGATCTAGCTGGATGCAGGGCTTTTAATTGGTAAACAGGAAGTAGATCTGGCTGGATGCAGGGCTTTTAATAGGTTAAGGAAGTAGATCTGGCTGGAGGCGTGGCTTTGATGCGCAAACAGGAAGTACAACTGACTGACGTATGCAATGTTTCAAGCTGAGAGCAGTTTAAATGCAAGGGCTGGCAGGGATCCTTTTAACGCCCTACCTTCTTCTCCTTCTCCTTCTCCTTCTCCTTCTCCTCCTCCTCCTCCTCCTCTACTGGAGCAGCGGGTACACCGCCCTATGAGCTGCCCATCCAGTTTGCCACACTGTCCAGGGCGACGGGCCGGCCCAGCAGCCTACACCTGTCCCGCTCCAAGAGCATCAGCAACTCCAACCCCGACCTAGCCACCTCCCCTGCCACCCCCGACCAGGAGGTGCAGAGGATCATCGGCAGCAAGGTAGGCGGGGTACCTCCCTCTAGTTAAGAATATAATATGTCAGGGATAATGTACAGCGAGCCGGTCATTATTGTGAAATAAACCCCTGCAGGTGATGCAGGACCCCGACGCGAAGCAGAGGGGTCTTGAATCACTCTGAAGCGGTTTATTTCTGCAATAATGACTCTCACTGTACATTATCCCACTTCCTACATGGCTACTTACTAAAGAAATCAACAACTTGATACAAAATATAACAACAAATAATGATTTTATTGATTTAAAAATGAATTTATTATTTCCTCTATAGTCACTTAGATTCTACGGTTGGAAATTGCGTCCATAGCAATGGTCTGTTATTCATAGCAGCGGTCTGCTATTCAGAAATTACAGACCATAGGATGCTGTAATTGACCAATCAGAATCAAGTATTCAACAAAGCCGTGAAGTTATGTTTTGAATGTGAAAGTTATTATTAGCCATTGTTTATTTTATTGGATAATCAGCCACAGTGTTTTGAACAGAGAGCGTATTGTATTTGTATGACTTGTGAAAAAGTTAAATCTGGCCTCCGTTTCGTTAGATAGAAAGAGGAGCAGCAAAGAGATACCAAATTTGGGGGCCTCCTGTATATACTGTTCACACAATGCCTCGTTTGTTTCAGCAGAGAGAGAGAGAGAGAGAGAGAGAGAGAGGAAAAAAGGCATAACGTAACGTCGTGCATAACTGGTGTATTTACGTCGCAATTTGCTCTTTAGTTGTAAGAGTTTTACAATTCAGCACAATAGCATCGTTGTTCCTTTCTTCCCCTGATGTGCTCTGCTTGTTTGGGTGTTTTTTAGAAAATATGCTTATCACGGGATGCGGGAAACTCGGCCAATGGCTAGATTCTCTGCTCATGTCTGTTGTGTGGTCATACAACTGTGTGTGTTCCTTGTTGCTTCTCCTCCTTGCTTCCCCTGATGGTCCCCTCCCCTTCTTTATCTCTGGTTAAAACTACCCTCATGTATTCTCTCTTATCTCTTTCTCCTTACTTTATCCCTCCTTTTCCTGCACGGTGTGTGCCTGTATTTGTGCGTGTGTGTGTGTGTGTGTGCGTGTGTGTGTCTGTGTATGCGTGTGTGTGGGTCTTTCTGTGCCTGTGTGTGTGTGTGTGTGTGTGTGTGTGTGTGTGTGGTGGCAGGGCATAGACCGCTCCCATTCATGGGTAAATTCTGCTTATGCTCCCGGGGGCCCCCGATCGGTGCTCCGTCGGAATCCCAACTCCAGCTGTGATCTCAAGCAGGTGCCTCTCCCTCCTCCTCCTCCTACTCCTCCTCCACCTCCTCCTTCACCTCCACCACTAACCCTCCACCCCCTCCATCACCATCCACTGCCATGCACGTCGTCTGTCACCATCATCCGCTTCCGTCTCAGCCCTCCGTTCTGTCCGCTTGTGTGCGCGCCGCGCTCAAAGCCTCTCTTCTGTTATTATCTAGGGCCGTGTTGTGCTCAACTACGTTGGGCTCTACTCACCGCCCCTGCAGGGGTTAACTGATGAGATAGGCACGTAGCTTCGCCTCCTCCATCAGAATAATGGAAAAGCTGAAGCGTCAAGGCACACAGCAATGTCTGCTGTGTCACCCCTTTTTTCCACTCACACGAGTCATTTTTCACTCGAACGCCGGAGACGTTCAGCTGATGTTGGCATGTTCTGCTGCAGGCAGGCCGTTAGCAGCCTCTGCACTCAGAAACCGCAGGGGTGTTTTCCTCCGGCCGTGCGTGTGACCATCACATCACATCACATTCTCTCTCTCTCTCACGCCTATTTATTATCTTCATGTTTGTTATTGTTTTTTTTTCCATTTCTTTTTATTTAAACATCACTCATCACCCTATGCCAGGCAAGCGAGCGCAGCTGCAATCGCATGTCTGCCTTTTTGGACAGCGCCACCTTGTGTTCAGTACCCACAAGGCAGTTGGCCAAGAAGGTAAAACTGGCGTCCATTTTAACCCACGAATGCATTTGACATCATTTATCACCATCATCATCCTCTTTCTTCATTAAGACATCTGTTCTGTACTTAATTTGTTATGTGAAAATCTGTTGCTACATACCGATATAGATCTATAGATATAGATCTATATCTATATATCTATATCTATAGATATAGATATATAGATAGACAAAGAGAATATTCCTTTTTATATGTATAGTCTTATATATATATATTCATAGTTTTAAGATGTAGTTATATCATAGTTTTGCACAACAATACGACTGATTGTTGACGCCACATCATGCAAACACCTCCGTTAGAGATTGTATTTTCTCTCTTAATACACATGGCAACACAATAACCTTCACAATGGATACCCCCGAGTTCCTTAGCTGCAAGTACCTTCCTTGACATAGAAACTAAAAAATGACTGCGTTGTTATTATGTGGGTGCCGGTCTGGCCCGGTGACGACCATGTGTTGCGTGGCGCTGGGCTGTGTGGGCGTGTTTGGCTGTTCAGCTGCTCCACGAGGAGCTGGCGCTGCAGTGGGTCGTCAGCACCAGCGCTGTCCGGGAAGCGTCTCTGCAGCAGGCCTGGTTCTTCTTCCAGCTCATGGTACGCACACAAACACATGCGCGTGCATGCACACACACACACAGTACACACTCACTCCCTCACGCACGCACGCACGCACACAGTACAGACTCACTCATGCACTTTGGCACACACACACTCACTTTGGCACGCACACACACACACTCACTTTGGCACGCACACACACACACATTCAATTTGGCACACACACACACGCTCGCTCACTTTGGCACACACACATACACACTTGCTCCATCGCATCCAAAATCTAGTGTCTTTATTAGTATAGGTGGGCAGCACAGTCTAATGGTGGGATGTTGGACTCCCAGCCCAAAGGGTCCAGGTTCAATTCCCCGCAGTCTACCCGTAGATATCCTTGAGGAGGATGCCTAACGTTATGACTTTATGATTTCAATTCAGTTCTTCGCTAATTCACCGATTCTGGCCGGTCTCTCTCACTCCTCCAGACCAAGAGCATGGCACACCACCTCTTCATGTCCTCCAGGCTGGAGGCTCCCCGCCGGCAGCGCTTCCCCGACCGCTTCGTGGACGACATCGCCGCGCTGGTGGGTGCCATCAGCGCGGACATCGGCAACCGACACCAGAAGGTACAGTACCCTCCCCCACCCAACCACCCACTCCCCACCCTTGGGAGGTGGGGGGGGGGGGGGGGGAAGCTCCATCACAAGCGACTTAAGTAATTGTCTGTCAGAGGAGGAGGAGGGGGCAGTTTGTAGCTGACTGGCCAGTGTGGCTAGCGGGCGTCAGTGTCGCTTTCTGTCAGCAGGGGAAAGTAGCTTAACAAGGAAGTACCGTTCACCCCCCCCCCCCCCCCCCCCCATAGGCTCTTACTCACACGCTAATGTATCCCTGCACAGTGCTGCCTGCCGTCGCAAAGTTACACCATCCGTCATTACAATGAAGTGCTGCCTCTCACAATGGATTAGAGGAGATGGCTGCGCAGGTTTAAATGGTCTTTTCCTTTTCTGCGCTAGCTTAGTGGCTTCTGCGAATCGATAACGCACTGTGGGGATGTGCAGGATGTGTTCCCATTGAATTTCGTTGTTTTTTTTCTCCGATGGTCTGTTTTTATTCTCCTTCATCTTGTTAATTATTTGTCTTGTCTTTCTTTTTTTTGTCTGCTCTGTACTTACCAAATGTCTTTCTCACTCTGTATGTGTCTTTCTCTTTATTTTTCCTGCTCTCTCTCTCTCTCTCTCTCTCTCTCTCTCTCCATTTCCTGCTCTCTCTTTGTCTCTCTCCCTGTTTCCTGCTCTCTCTTTGTCTCTCCCTGTTTACTGCTCTCTGTCTCGCTCTCTTTCCTGCTCTCTGTGCATGTCTCTATCTCCGTCTTTCAGGACGTGGAGCTGGTGGAGAGACTCAACACCAGTCTGGCCTTCTTCCTCAACGAGCTGCTGTCCCTCATGGACCGGGGCTTCGTGTTCAACCTGATCCGCTCCTACTATAAACAGGTGGGACATACGTTGTCTCACACACACACACCACACACACACACACACACACACACACACACACACACACACACACACACACACACACACACACAGCCACCGCTGTTCTTACTCACACAACATGCACCCCTTTCTACTCACTCCTCTATCCACACCTGTATAATTCCCGCAATAAGTCATCGACTCTTTTGTGTGCTGTCTTTCCTCTAGTTTCTGTCTTCAGGCATTGTACAGCAGTGATTCACACACACACACACACACACTTCTTTTTCAATGCGAATAGTGATTCCTAGAGTCCTTAACTTATATTACCATCCAAATATGCTATATGATACCATATTAGGTATCAACGCGATACATTCATTTTACTGTATAGATTCATGTACTGTATTTTTCTGTATAGAACAGTTTGGGGTGAACAGTAGTCTTCTTGAGAGACCTCTACAGTACAGCCTTTAGGTATACTGAAACCCTCTGTTAGGCCTACAGAGGTTAACCGATGTAACCAACAGTAGATCCTAACGGGTCCTGAAAGGGTCCTATGTATCTGTTATGAACCAGCGCTGCGTGTTTCCGCCCCGCAGTACTCCAGCAAGTGGCACGCGACACAGAACCCCAGCTTTCTGAGTGGGGTCCTGGGTCCTAGCTGTGTCAAGGGGTCCTGTGTCCTGTGTCTGTCAATAACCAGGAGTTTCTATTGCCGCCCCTCAGATCTCCAGCAAGCTGCACACGGCCCAGAACCCCAGCTCTCTCAATGCCCTGCGGATGGACTTCACCCGCATCGTCTGCAGCCACGAGCACTACGTCACCCTCAACCTGCCCTGCGCCACCCTGAGCCCACCCGCCTCGCCCTCCCCCCTCCACCTCCTCCACCACCTCCCAGGTAGCCGGCCGGCCGCCCTCCCGACGCTCGCCCTAGGCCACTCGCTGAGCTTGTCAAGCCCTTGTTGTTCCTATAGTGTATTGTTGGTGGTAAGCCCAGTGTTGTGTATGTTGTGATCGATCTCACGGTTCGGATTACCCCCCCCTAGCGTCCTACATGTACACATTTAACCTTTACATATGCTTTTATTCAAAGAGAAGCGAGGCTCAAAATAAGCGAAGCATACAATCAAACTTTAAGTTACTACAAGTTTGGTATAATAGTAGCTATATTAACAGGGATAGTAATCATCTGATTTGAATGAAACAAAGTTCAAGTTCAATAAACTTGGATGTTGAACTTTGTTTTGTTTTAATTTGTTTATTAGTGCATAATAGTTGCTTGTAAATGTACACTTTTCTCCACTTTTCCCTCCTTACATTTCGACCAACTTGTAGAAATGACACAGCTGTTTCTTATTGCTGTATAGTAAAACAATCATTATTATTGAGCGTTTTCTGCATTTCTGCAAAGGGAGTGGAAATCTCGAAGACCAGCACCCTTTTGTCTTTCTAATAGGATAATAGAATAATATCATAATGACCATGTGTACGAGTAAGGGATAATGTACAGCGAGCCGATCATTATTGAGAAATAAACCCTGTGATGCAGGACCCTGCCGGGAAGCGGAGCAGTCCTGAATCACCCTGAAGAAATCAATAATTTGACACAAAATATTTGTAAAAAAAATCTTGTATTGATTGAAAAATAATTTTATTTCTTGCGCAAAAAAAACCCTACATCTACGGTTGGAGAAATGCATCCATAGTAACGGTCTGTTATTTATGGCAGCGGTCTGCTATTCAGAAATAACAGACCACTAGAATGCCATAATTGACCAATCAGAATCGAGTAGTCAACCAAGCCGTGTGATAATATGATGACGCTCTGTGTTCCCCTCAGAGCTCGGCCTTCTCCAACATGGTGCAGGACCCGGGTGTGGCCAGCATGTTTGAGCTCTCCGTCCCGTTCCGCCACCAGCACTTCCTGTCTGGCCTGCTGCTCACCGAGCTCTCACTCATCCTGGAGCCTGACGGGGAAGGGTGGGCACGCACACACACGCACACGCAGACACACCTACAGACACACAACTTGCATATATATATACATATACACAACTTTTAAGTACATTTTGGTTTGCTATGTATGTTCACTTTAAGACAAGTGTTTCACAGTACACACTTGTTGCACACATACTAGTTATACATTTACCTTTTCTTTTTTTAAATTATATTTGTGTAATATATTTCATTACTCTGGTGCCTCGAGACAAAATTGCACCAGGTGTTGTCTGAATCATCATTAGCTCATTGTTGGCAAACATTCATGTATATATATTATTGCTGAGTATTAGTTTTAATTGAATGAAAATCATTCCCAGCATCTCAGGCTACGTGATTCAGCCACCCACACTGAATTACGTCGTCTGAGATGCTGGGAATGATTTTCTGACTCATTGAAATTTAATACGGGGGACAGGAATCTCGTATAACCTGCATGAACAAAGGAACCTGGAAAAGCTTGGTTCCCTCAATGTTTGACAAACGACGCCCCCTGCTGGCTGCAGGCAGTACCTTGGGTCCAACCCACAAGTACAGTCTATGCTTGTGTACTGTTGCTGAGGTCAGACCTTTTAAAGCAGTGATGGATGGATGACCATCCATGCTGAAAACAAACCTGCACTCCGCCACACAGGGTCTTCTTCCTCCATAAGAAAGCCATTTGCGCCGTCCACTCCCTGCTGTGCAGCCACGACGCTGACCCCCGCTACACGGACCCCCAGGTCAGAGCCCACATCGCTCAGCTCTACCTGCCGCTCATCCTCATCGTCATGGAGACGCTGCCACAGCTCCACGACTTCACCGGTCAGCCAAATTATGAAATACCGTTCAACATATTTTGTTCAACAGTTTTAATATATTCTGGTCTACAGTTTAACATATTCTGTTTGACAGTTTTAACATATTCTTTTCTGTGATGTGTATGATTGATCGATATAGCTATATTTATATTTTTAGATAACTCTCCTTCTCGAGTGCGCCACGCCTGCACCCTGGTGGACGGCGGTGACTCGGACAACGGCAGCACCATCAATCAGTCTGTCGCCATGGCGATCGCTGGCTCCCCGTTGCCGCTCTCCAAAGGCAACGCCTTCCCCCTGCCTACAGTGGTGAGTAATAACGGGAGAGTTCTGTGGGCGTGTGTGTGTGTCTGTGTGTGTCCGTGCATGTGCATGTGTGTATATATGTCACTGGACTTGTATATAACTCAACAAGTCATTTTAGCAGTGGAGAGGTCTGTGGCTATGTGTGTGTGTCTCTGTGTGGGCGTGTGTGTGTGTGTGCATGCGCATGTGTGTATATATGTCACTGGGCTTGTATATAACTCAACAAGTCATTTTAGCAGCGGAGAGGTCTGTGGGTGTGTGTGTCTGTGTGTGTCACTCAACAAGGCCACTCACACAAATGGTGTTTTTGCACCCCTCCCATGTTATTAAAGTACAACTTATTCTGCGCCTACCCTGTATGTAGATCTCTCTGCACATTTGTTTCTCTGTTGAAAAACAACAAGTTTTGGTGGCAGAATAGTGTAGCAGCTAGAGTTTCTGATTCTCGGATGAAAGGTTTGAACCCCAATGAACCCTTGCTCCTTAAAACAAATTCACTGTAAATCGCTTTTTAATAATCTGACATGACTAAATGACTAAATATATTGCTAATTGCTATTAAGGGGTGTGGGTCAGAGGTTACACAGTCGCCCTGACGCATGTCTTTATTTTTATTTTTATTATTTTTGTTGTATTCTCTGATGCATGTCTTTATCTGTATTTTTAATTCTTATTTATTTTTGTATTCTTATTATCTTGGTTTGGTTTTGTACTCTTACTTTCACCTGTACCTTTCCTGTGTTTCATTCTCGTTGCTGTTGCTGCTATGACACCTGAATTTCCCTCCAGGGATTAATAAAGGTTTG